GCAGATCTCTCCGTCTCGTCCCGCACCGGATCCTCTCTCCGTTTCTCCTTTCTACTCCCCGTGTCCCTCCACACGACTCGTCGTCCGCCCGCGCACGATCGAAGACGAGCGCATCGCCGCCGATCGGCGGCGATGGCGGCGGCCTCGTGTTCCTTTTGTCCCTCACGCTCCGACCACTTCGCTCGTTTGTTTACGTCGTCTATGTAGATGTGCGTGCGTGCGCGCGCGCGCGAGCGTGCGTGTATAACATCAGTACACACGCAAACGTCGTTTTTCGCGGGAACCACCCTCGCCATGCTCGACGAAGACGGAGCGAATACATCGCGAGGACGATTCTTCCGACTCTCTTCTCACGTGACTTTCTCCCTCGCTCTCTACCGAGAGAAATCGTTGCCGGCTCTTCGTCTCGGCCCGAAAGCGGTCGACGACGTGTATCGATCTGCCCAGCTCGCGTCGATGATGGTGATGACGGCGACGACGAATTGCTTCCCGTCGGGAAATCCTCCGCGTAGCAAAACCGGTCTGATCTCCGGAAAAACTCCGGCCTGATAGACACGCGCGAAGGAGACGATGTCCCGTCTATATTTATCCTTCGATCGGTTTTTCAATTATACCGGTTCTCGATCCCCCGTCGCTCTCTCAAGACGGAGAGCGGTTACGGCATACATCCTTCGCGTTTCCCCTTGCACGCGTGAGATACGATGTCGAAAGCGTGTAAGGGGACGCGCGTGTGTATCGCGCGTTACGTATTACACGCCGCGTTTACGACCGCGAGCGTCCAACGATTCGCCACGCCGAAGCCCTCGTCAGTGTGGTTGGTCGTGGCGAGCATTGCGATGGTGGTAGTAAATTGCGATGTTGGCGGTCGCGGCGGTCGGCGACGTGAGGGGGCGATCCCCTAGTGGCTGAGGGGGGGGGGGCAGGGGGGCTGTGATGCGGGGACGATGTAATATTAAGCCCGCTAGATGCCGCCACTGTTAGCGGCGTCCTATCTCTATTTCTCTCGGTTCGTCGCGTCGTCCTTGTTGCTACTCAGCAATGTGAAACGGCAGCAAATACCGAAGCCGGAGCGCGCCAGCAACGACTTGCTGATTTTAAACGGGAAATGTATAATCGTGCGTGTTTTTTTTATTACGGTTGCATTGTAGCTCTTTCATTAATATTTTAAGAATCACTTTTATTAATTAATATTGATCTTGTTATGCACTTTTTTAGAGTAACTTGTTTATCAATAACGTATTTATTATGAGAGTTTACTTAGATATATATATATATATATATTTATATATAAAATTATCATTTATGTATTGCACACGATGTAAATAATAAAGTAAAATTATGTGGCAATTTAAACGAACAGAGATTTTAATAATTATTTAATTATTCTACTAATTATTAATAAAGTTATCTTGATTGTGAATTGTATACTTTCATAATCAATATTTGATTTACAAGACAAGAGAGTTACATAGATAATTTATATTGTTTGTATGTGTGTGGATATAAAGAACTTGAAAATAATATCTTTCAAAATGTTATTATAATATAAAACTAAAATATATTTAATAAAACTTAACATAAGGAATAGAACGAAATAAATACGAAAATATTAGAGAAAAAGTAATAAAATTTAATATTAAATAAGGCAAAAAAGCACCACATATTCTTAATATAATAGATTAATATGAATGTAATAGAATATTATATCTACATTATGGTTTTTAGGGAAACAAAAGTCACTACTCCTCAGAAGAAGGTAGTGGAAGAGGAGAAGGTGGTACAGGAGGAAATTGATGAAGATTCAAAAACATCTGAAAATGGGGATACAAAGGAAACCAAAGAGAATGGCTCGAGCGAGGAGAAGGAGACTGATGAAAAAGAAGCAGAATCTACAGAAAATGGAGACTCGACAGGTATATTATATAATGAAAGATCTTTATCTTTGTTATTTTTGTGTTTAAAAAAATATTCACAACACATATCACAATAAACAATTTTTGCTTGCGATTTTAGATGCTCCAGCCGACAGTTGCTGCGTAAAGAGGAAATCAACGGCTGGTGCCGATGCAGCAGAGGATGCACAGGACGGCGCGAGCCCCGAAAAGAAGTCAAGACTCGAGGAGAAGTGCTCCGAAGCCGAGAATAACGGCGACGCGGAGGAGGCCACGGCCTAATATTCTCTCATGTTTATTATTGACAGACAGACCTAATCTATAGATGCAATTTTAACTACCGAGTGTGAAGCCAGGGCAGATCGTCTGTGCATTTTCAGAGAGAAGATGGCGAGCATAAAAGAAAATAAAAGAAGAAAAAATCCAGAAAAACATTTTGACGTTTATTGCATTAAGAACTTTCTGTGTTCAGGATGATTGTGTGTGTCTCCCATAGTATTTCTTGCAATTGTTAATTGGCAATAGCAACACGAATTCGATATTTTTGGGAAAAAAAATATCGCAATTATTACATTTTAATGTAAAGCATAAACAAACGGTGTTCTCTGTACTGGCATCCACGTGCATACATATTATATATTCACTTAGCGTTAGAATTTTAAGATAAGGAAATATACCGATAATGTTAGAAATAATATATTTCTAATTCATCAAAACAAAATGACGGTGCGGTGTCTGGAAAAAGGGTACATTTGTGCAACGTAATATTTCCACCTATTGCTAGTCCTCATTGTTTCCGACGCACGGACACACATTGTATCTTATACCTATAGATGACACATACACACCTTGGACTATACATCGGAGATAGAATATGGATATTTTTCTGCGAATCAAAATACATTCCCGAAAATAGATTGACTCGTAACGTTATGACTGTTCGCCGACGAAAAACTTAAGAGAGCGCCATTTCTACAGCTAACTTTGAACATGCGTGTTTCACAATCTTTTATTTATGTGAACTAATTTTTGAAAAGAAAAGAAAAACTTATCTAGATAAATTTTTTTTTATTTAGATAAATTGATTACATTTAACTGTACTAACACATAGTATGTGTTTATGAATAAATCTTTTTCTTTTTTTTCTCAAAAGACACCTTTTTTGAAGAGTGCTGTCCAAATCTACTATATGATTCCAAACTTGCAATTTTTTAAAAGTTGAAAGAAAATTTCTTTTTATTACAGTTGCACATTATACATATAATTTATCTTACTTCGGTTCTCACATGTACCTATGTATAAAAACACTGAGTAAAAAAAACTTTTGTTTTGAATTTTGCTAATGATGTATAAATGTATTAATGACTGTCATTTAATAATTAGAAACTGCATTGGACACAAAACCGAAAAATTATGGTTAAAATTTATTTTGTTTGATGTAATTAATCAAATTTATTGATTTGCATGTTATTTAAAACTTAAATAATTGTCAGATGTAAGTCATCGTTTCTCTTAGTTCTATGATACATTAGCTTCAAGAAGCTATCTTATATTTTGGTGACACTATGACAATAGTTCTTACAATTTCGAATGTCATTATTTTTGTTTTGTATGTAATAAATATAACTGTCGATCAGTGAGGGTAATAACACATGTATGTTTAAGATTAAAAAATGGTAAAATGTGTTCAACAGCTAATACAAATAAAGATGGTTCTCTATATTTCTTCTTAGTTATAATGAACTGTAGCCTAAGTCAATTCTTAACTTCCTGGAAAAGTCTATAACCATGCAAACTTTAATTTTTCTTTTAATTTCATTACAATTACAATTTTTGTAAGAAAAAATTGTAAAGCTTTTCTTATTGAATCTCCATTTGTGGAAGATAAAACTTGATTTTAAGTTTATTTCTTTTTAATGAACGATGCCTTATTCTGAGTTTAGAGTAAGCCCTGTATCAACGTACCTCATATGCTTGTGTTGCGCACACTGTTTATTCAATTATCACAAGTATGTGGGACCTACAGTTTTTTTTTTTTTTTTTTTAAAAACTGCTCCAAATGGCGAATTTCTCGAGAGATGTTTCTGTGGGTAAGAATACTTTCGGGAGGTTGCAGGCCTTTCCTGAGAGGAGACACGAGCCTAAATATTTTGGTTCTATCAGGGATTGAATCCGGGATCTCTCTGGCATGACAAACCAATGCGTTTTCGTGTCATGCTACGCTCACATTCGGAACGATGTAAAATTTTCATTTATCTCTAATTTATATTCAAAAAAATTTCATAATTCAAGAACTTGTCATTTTTCTGAAAAATTTAATGTTATATGGAATAGCAATTATAAGAATTGAATATATAGATTTTTGGTTTAACAATTGAATTATTTTAGCTTGATTCTTTGTATTAGCATTGTAAATTTATAAATATTTTAAATACTTATTGTTAATAAAATTATATCGTAAATATTTACAATTAACATTATAACATGAAAAATACTTTAAACAGAGAATAGAACTTACATCCAATAAGCAACATGTTAGTGTATGCTAATAATTCGCCAGCAGAAATTGATCTGAAAAACGGTTACAAAATAAAAGCTAGCTTTTGCTTAGTTTCTGTAGTCTACCATTGTATTTCTATTAATAGATTTCATTGTTTCCGTGGATAAAACATATATAAATTGTAGCAAACATTTTCAAAATCTATTTCTTATAGATTTGATTGTTCGAAATAATATATTGCAATTTTCTAGCATTATTAAAGTTGATAAAACAAAAATTATAGACACTTCTCGAAATAATTGTGGACTACTGATTTTTTTCTGTTACGGTCAAATGCACAAAAATTATATCATACATGTCATATTTATCTATTGAATTTTTAAAACCTAAATATACATGAATAACTTTATAAAAATATTGTAGCAAACAGAGGATAAGCAAAAAAATGTTATAAAAAAATATTATCTCTTGGAAAAAAATCAGGAAAACTTGACCACTAGTTGCACTGTATTGCAATCGAGTGCAGATCATGAAGAACTTGAGCAGTATCTTACCAAAGTAAGATAAAGGTATCTAAATTATACATAATCTATGGTTAAAGAGCAACGTTTATGTTTGATAAGTGGAGAATGTTAGAAATTCGTAACGTCACATGAATGGAGCTTCAGTTTTTCCAGACTTGAGGAGAGAAATGGATTTATGACGTAACAACTAAATATTATGTGAAAAGTGATCTATATAAGAATTCGTCTCGCCTCATAAGATGGCTGCTTGGATCAACATAACTTCTAAGTATATCCGTTAAAATATTATAAACATTACTGGCACGCGTACTTTTATAATTAATAGCAACATAAAAAATGATACCTGTAAAGCAGACCTATGAGCGCTCCGAAAATGATCCTATTTTTATTATTTTTATGCTGTTTATCATTACTTGTATATTACATTACCTTAATGATAACTTCTTACTCTTTTCGATAAATTAATTCTAAAGCATCAGTAATAAATTCATCTGTATTATTGTTTTAACAGACTGGAGCAAGGTTTGAAGATAGTGGCTCGAGTGGATAATAGCAAATTTCGGCTTCTTGTTAACCGCATATGCCAGACTTTGCAGTCAAGCATTGATACGAAGGTGTTTAATGAAGAAGAAGAGGAAAAGCTGCTAGTTTCCTTAGACCTGACAAAAGATGAATTAGTTCTTCTGCTGGATACTATTACATCCATTTACACGCAGGCTGCATGTAACGTTGTCAAACCGTCTGTCATGGAAGCAGTCATAAAAGATCATTTTAAATTAGACGAAGAGAAAATTTCGATATTTACAAATGCTTGGATGACTTATGGAAAAGGCATTGTAGAGAATCTAAGGCAACAGTCTATTTTTCCTACTCAGGTATTGTAACATAGATAGAGGTTGATGTTTATTAAATTAGTGATAGTGCATATTGATCATGGGACAATTAAAAAAAAGAATGAACTATATTTTTATGTTCGATTGAAAAATAGTATTCTTTTTGATATTTATTGTTTGTCACAATAAATATCACAACAAACCTTTGTATTTAAAATAAAATGTTCATCTTGAATAATAGAAAGATTTAAATTTTTATTTTGACTTGAGAGATCTTCGCCCTATAAATAATTTCCTTATAGTTTTACAAAATACTCATTTAATATCAATAATATTAAAAAGTTTATCAATTTTAATGTGAAATTATATTTCTATTTTTGATATAAGAATATTTCAAGTTCAATTCCAAATAATAATCAACCCATGATTCAAAAGCAAAAAAGCAAAGTGTATAATATTAAAAAAAATTAATATTACACATAAAATATTACTTGATAACTAGAAACGTCAATCTTTTTTTATTGTGTGTTAAAAATCTCTTGCAATTTATGTTTATTAAACTACATTTCTCTTTTATTTGACAAGGTGAAGGATATCAACTGGTGTCTAAATGTACAATCATCGTCCTCTGTAATTTCCAAAGATGCACGACCTGTAGCATTGGTCCAACTAGGTCTGACTGGTGATAAGACATCTACGTTAACAATAGAGTTTGACAAGAAGCAATTAACAGAGCTTTATTACAATCTAGAAAAAATCCAAACTCAATTAGATGCTCTTAAGTAACATGATTAATGTTGATATTTATATACTACGCTTGTATACTATAAGTAACCAATAAGTGTAATTTATTATGTAAAAATATATTTTGCAATGTACTTTTTTACATGTTTATTAGAGCATCATAAGAGCGTGTTATTGTTATTTTGTTATTTTCGTAGTTATTTCTGACACACATTGTATATTTTTTATTAAATTACAACGAAAAAAAATTATTTTAAATTTATTTGCATATATACGCAGGCGTCTGCTTTTTGAAAATAAATTTTAATGATAACTTTGTCGCACAATGAAGATAAATATTTAGTAAATTTTATATAATGAAGCATCAAGAAATATAGTTAAAATGTATTTTTATTTTTTCAACAAATGCTTATAAAAATAATCGCACCTTCATGAGTTTAAAATGAGTTGAAATGAGTTTAAAATAATTATTACTGTCACGTTTCAATCAGATCTTCTTTTCATAACTCATTTTTTATCAAATCACTTTATAATTTAATATAACAATATTCCATTTTATTTTAATATTTATAAATATTTTTAATTTTCATTTTTGCTGTTACAAGAACTTTAGATTGACTTTACTACTTTAAAGATGCTTATCAATATCAGAATATTAAGATCAATCTAAGGTGCCTATGTGCATCAATATAATTAAATTGTTTGTTAATTTAATTTGTGATATTATTACTCTAATTTTGTTAGAAATTGCTTTGTAAAACTGAAAATAAATTAGTTGCGTAGTTTCAGGGATTGGATATGAGTATATAAATTCACACAGAATTATTTCAGCACAAAAGATCCAGCTTGATCGTTTAGATACTTTATTTTCAGATTCGTTGTTTAATATTTAAATTCTTTTTAATTATAAAACATTAATGTAAGAAAAAATTATTTTAATATTTAATATTGTTCAATATTCAATAAGAACATTAATTGGTAATAACAATTCCAAATCGAATTATGTATTCTTAGCAAAAGTGATCTAATTTATTTTATAATATAATTTTTAGAATTGTAAAAAGGCAGAAGTCATATTAGATTTTAATAAAGTTAATACATTCTGAATGCAATTACATAATTATATATAAATCAATTTGATAGTAATAAATATTCATATATACACAATATATATTTAGAAATAATTATTAACCATTGCCATACTGATTTGTATAGGATAACATTTTAGTAATATTATTTATGGCTATCAATACTATTGTTTATGATAAAAATGATCGTAAACTATAGTGTGTTAAGCTGATAATACATGCGCAATGAAACAAAGAGAATGACTGTGCACTTTGTGTTCTGTCGCAATCCATTCGCTGGCATCATTTTCTTTTATAGGAAGAGATCGGCTATGTCTACACTCTATAGTTACGACCGCGCCTTTTCTCTTTGAAGATAACATCAAACTAGTTGAAAAATTAATAAAACTCTTTCGTCTATATTAATACTTATACTATTAGTAAATTCACGTAATATTCTCTCAACATACAAATTGTTAAAAAGTACTATTTACAGCCACTTGCAATATTAATTGATAAACTTATTAAAACGTGTAATAATAGCCACTTACAATACAAAGTTTGTATTCCACTTGACGCTATACGATGCAATTTTTCTTATTTAACATTTGGTAAAAACAATGGTAAACAATAAAAATAAAATGATTCCGAGAGCACTGTGTGTTAGTATCATACAATATAATAATATACAATTTGTATCGAGATGATAACATTTATGTAATTATTTCTTATAATTACATAAAAACTAATTATAATTATATGCTAATACTCTAATTATATGCTATAGCTAATAATGTTAAAATTACAAGAATATGTTGTTATTTTAATTGTATGTGTAAAATTATATATTTACAATTTACACAAATTTATGAAAGTTACTAAAGTATAGTTCTATACATACTATATGTATATGAAACATTGAGTTTTGTTTATAATTCTCATGTGTTTGTAACTTTTACAAAAACTAGTCTTTGCTTCTATGATATATAATTTAAATATTAATAATTAACATATTATAGTCCAACATTATCGTAGGTTTTAGATGGCATTCTGTGAGTCTTCTCCACACGCGGACTTCTGTTAGGTAGGATACTCTCAAAGTTCGAAGTGTGACCGTTGTCTTCAACAAATTGAAAATTGATCTTTCCCTGATCCTCGGTATGTTTTTCTCTCCATAATCTAGCGTTCTGCCTCCTTTCGTCAGGAGGTAAGGTTTCCAAAATCTCAGGTGTCTTACGGATAAAGATTCGCGCTTTGCACACCACCAACACCACTACTATTATCATCAGGAATAAGACCACGGCCGTTAGAGTCCCCACAATCCATCCTAGTTTCTCATCTGCATGCAGAAAATTAACTCTTGTATTGCAAGAAGGATATACAAGTGTTACATTAAAAATGCAATACTAATAAACTATAAAATTATTTAAAAAGAGGTATAGAAAGATGAGAAATAAATAACAAGATTTCTAACGAAATGCTAGCAAAGACCTGTTAAAGTGTTCAATAGAACGAGTGTTGCGCTTCCTATCTCAATATCGGCGTTACTATTGTTGACCGTAAATCTGCAGGTCCATTGTCCTAGATCGGTTTGATCCGGTTTGAAGATCAGCTTGCATACACCTGTAGTATAATCCATCTGCAAGTTGTGCCTGCATTACGACATAAGAGAAAAGTGAATTAAAATAATGAATGCATAATAAAGAAGACAATATATATATACCAGTATATATATATATATTTTACTATATATATATATAGCAAAAGATATTACCTCATTTTTTTTGTAAGCTGTCTGCTGGAGTTTTGATATACGTGAACTTTTGGAGCATGAATCCAATGGCATTTGGCCTCCGATGACACAGATCCGACTCTACATGCAAGAGTGACCATTTTGTGAGGTGTGGCCCAAACTGCAATAGTGACGGGTTCTGAAAAAACGATCAATATTTCCTGAATTGATCTTCTTTTTAATCCTTACAGCCTCAAGGATTTACCAAAATCCACAGCTTATCAAAAATATTTTTATCAAAAGTATTGTTAAATTTAATGTATTATCTTGCTTACCGTTACACAGTAAACTCTTGAATATTATATTTTAAGTGCCAAAAGTGTTAAAATCTTTTAATTACATTTTTTTTTTACTAAATAAGCTTTTCTCAAAAATTTCCGGATTTTCAAAAACATTAATTTTTTTTGTTAAAGCGGTAAATTTGCTTTTAACGTGGATTTTTCTTGAGGCCATCAGGAAAATTCTTTTTGAAATTTTTTCCCACTCACCAAAAACACCGCTAAATCTCCGGTGCAGATTATCCATTTTGATCACCAACCACCATTCGTTTGTGCATCGATGACTTTCGTGGCTTGATAAATGTTTGAATCGTTAGATTGTGCAACGTTGATTTCGCGTGCATTGATGAAATTAGAAAAATCCGATAAGAAATATTTCAAGCGCTATGCTTAAATAGTATTCAAACATTTTAATATTAGACCTAAATAATACCACACAAGTAAACTGTGAACAAAATTATATACTATTAAAAATATTGTTTTTTACGTTAAAATGTGAAGTTATTATAAGGACAAGGTTTATATGAAATATTAAATCATCTAATACTTATATGTGTATAGTTCGTGTTACTACCGAGTTGCTTGAAATCAAGATAGACATTTTACTAAATGTAGCAATTATATAACTTCTTCGTAAATTTCGTATGTCTCTAAAAACTTAGCGCCTGAAATATTTTTCCGTGAATATATTTGATTAATTATCGCTATTTGTGCATCAGTTCAAAATTATGGCAGCCGCCTCAAACTCGGAAAGAGCTTCTTCGGTTTCAGCTGTAATGTAGTTAGTAACTGGAATGATGGAAATGAGAAAATTGCTATGACGTTTTCATATTACTGTTTATTTAGACGAGAAAGAAAAAAAACAGTTTACAGCAACTCAGAGACTCAAAACGCGCTCGAGGTCGCGCGAATACCTCGCGGTGCTTAACGATACTTAATGGCACATGAAGATTCATACGCTCTGCAAGTAATCGCTGCTCAAATTTGATCGCGTGCATATTATGTCATCGTAATTATTTGTAAAGCACAGCATTAACGCGTAAAATATATCTACATTCGTGACCGAACGGATAATTAAATTGCTTCTATATAATTATGCCAGTTCAAATTGAATTTGTTTGAAACTTCGCAAAGTAAAGTTTATGGTTCAAAAAGAAATATTTAATTAGGTACCGGAGACCTAAAACAACACGCGTGATGATGCCTTTGCACTATCGATCAACGAGCTGAGCGAACGTTGCTCGTCGCGAACATGAATTTTCTGAACGCTAAAATCTTAACGCTAAAAATTGCCTACTTACATTAGTATTAAATGCACTAGCGGCTAGTCATAAGTCATAATCATGGATCGTGTATATATATACATACATATATATACTATATAACGGACGTATATCAAAATCGACAAATTAAACAGTAAACATGATGAAAGATAGAAGCGCGATATTAACTTAAGGTGATGGCTTTCTATAATAAATAATGTGAAATGTGGGACGCAAAACGCAGTCAGTGATGTTAAAGAGATGCTTGTGTACATTTATCTATCGTCGTTTAATACTCTCATTTAGATAATTTTTTATTAGTTTGTAACTTATTTATTGGCTCTACTTTATTTATATATATATTGTATATATACAAAATATATGCATTTCATAAAGAGCACATTATGAGTAGGGCTCGTTATTATATGGTACATTTAAACGAAAACACGTTTACACGTATAATTAACACATCCGTTTATTAGAAACGTTTATGAATTATTTAGAAATTCGGAAAAACGTTTCTTTAATAAACGAATATGCGTTAATTATAGTGTAAACGTTTACCATCAAGTAAACGTTTTTCTGAAAGCAAATATAAACGGATAAAAACGTTTTAGGTATCTTCGACAAACGGAATAAAATTAGAGCCCTAATTATGAGTTCTAAAAATCATCATTCAATTAATTTTGAAAATAGAATAAGAAAATAATATAAGCAATCATTATTGCAATACTATTGGAATCAGAAAAAATTATCGAATTAATTTTCATTAAAGTTTTAGACGAAAAATTAGTTATTTAAATTATTTAAAAAAATTATTTAAATTATTTAAAAATTAGAGTATTTCATCTTTTTTCTATCATCTGTAAATTTGTAAACAATATAATTTAAGGCACCATACACGAAATTTTTGTATAAAATGTTTTCTCCTGTACATAATATTTTCATATATGATTTCGCGCTTTATTTAACTAACAATAAGATGTTTGTTAACTAAATACAAAATTTCATTTAAACGCAGTCTCGCCATTAAAAATATAAATAATAAATTGTAAATGGCATTGCTAATATTTTTAAGAAAATAATTCCATGTACTAATTGAAAATAAATGTAAAAAATAAGAAATATAATAAATTTGTTTTTATATATAATTATTTCAACATTTCTTTTATTATATTTATTATCAGTAAACAACAATACCAATTAGAACTAAACACACAATAAAATAAACAACAAAATAAAGGCGTGTGTAAAGAAATATGTTTAAATTTATTTATACAAGTACTTGTGTGTGTGTGTGTGATGCTTCTCTCTCTTTATTATCTTTTGAGATGTTTATATTACTATGTCACGACTTATGGTACGACCTTCACATGAGCTTGAATGTGTAATCCGTTTTACATTACTAAATAATTTACCTAAGTGTTTGTCATGTAAATCAGAATTATTTCATTATTCTCATCAAAGTACGTTATTTTTAATTTTTTAAATATTATCTTAGTTAATTTGGAAATTCAATTAAGAAGCGCCTGGACACAATAGGTACATCTTGTACAAAAATATTTTATACAATACTATCATTAATCTTCGCAGATTAATCTCTCTTAGAGCCGATTGTTCCATCTTTCGGTAAAGTTTACCTGTTAGGTAAATCTGGCAATCCGCGCACGTAATTGGATAATCTTGTTACTTACCTAACAGATAAACTTTACTAAAAGATGGAACATTGACTCTTAATGTTGCGCTTTACTTAACAACTAGTCAGTATTAAATCTTTTTTATATTTTAATTCTTTTGCCATGAGAAAGACCCGAAACATCTATAATTTTTTGTATTATATATTAATAAAATTTATTTACACGCGTTCACTTTGTGTTTCACTTTCATTGATATTATTGTTTATTGATTTATTTCTATAGAACCTCTTTTTCTTTTTAACTTATATATCTGTTATATATTATATTATAAATACTGCAATTTGTGTAATTTATTTTTAATCTTATTTCATATTTTTATAATATCATAAATATAAAATAAAATTTCTTTTTTTATTATATCATTATTATTTTCTATTTTAAATTGTAAAATTCTTACAATGTGTAAAACGAAATTTTAATTTTATCTAATAATAAATTTGTGTGTTCTAATTTTAAAATTAAAATGTTTTTTAACACATAACCTTAACATATAATTTATATTCATGAAAAAGACTAATTTGACGATAATAACAGCGTGGATGAAGGCATGGATGAATTACCGTGAAAAAAATCGCAATTAATTACAACTCGTGTGTGAAGCCTCCTTAATCTCTAGGGATAACAAGAAAAGCCGACAGGATTGTTAATTTGTGGTTTACCAGGCGGCGCACAACGAACCGATAAATCTCACGGTTTATCGGAGAATCACGAATGATGAACGGTAATGGGCGCTACCGTCTTTGATAATGCAAAATGATCTAACACTAGTAAATGCAAATGCACGACGTAATTAAATTAAAAATGGATTCCACATGCCGCGATTAAGCAAAGAATGTTGACGTAATGCGTAATCGAATGATAATTTTGTGATCTTTGTATGCATGATATTAAAAAGATGCACTTAGATTGTATAAATGTAGTCGCTTTAAATGTAGTCGAAAAATGCATTTATATACGTTCTGCTCAACAGTTTTATACGATTCAATCCTACTTTAAAATTGAATCGTGTAAACTACATACATATTTCTTGTACATATGAACACTAATTGAATGTCTTTATATATATCTTCAATAAAAATGTATTTTTTCAACAAACTTCTTCCAGAAGGACACCAGATGTCGAATAATATATTACCAAATGATCAGCCAATAACTGAATTCGTAGATCCAATTACAAGCTACGTTTGGTTTACTATAAAATCTCACATAACATTAAAATACGACTTTTCTCACCAAATTGCAAAATATAAAAAATAAATTCGCAAGAATTCTCAAAATAAATTCCCGAAAATGCCAACGATTTTTCGGCACATTTAACAATTAAATTTATATAAAAAAAACAAGTATAATTAAAGAATCTAAATATAAAATTCTATTCTGAAATATACACGGAAAGAATAATTGTATTAAAGTATCTAAGAATTTAGCTAGATATAAATCTGAAAATAATTTTCTTCAACTGTCAATTTATGTTCGTTTTTGTTTTAATTTGTTTAAAGTACGAATCCTTATAGTTCATATTACATGCTGCAGAAAGTTTTACATTTTAATTTGAGCATCCTATATTTATTTCCTATAATTATTTTAATGGTCCAAGAAAGTTATATATATGGTATATGTATTTTTCAGATTTATATCTAGCTAAATTTTTAGATATTTCAACAAAACCTTTCTGTGCAGGCGATACTCGCTAACTAATAATTTATTATATCCGTCAAAACTAGCAGTTCTAAGCTTTTATTACGCTATTATACGCAAAGAACACAATTCCGTTCAAAATACGTTTAATAAACGTTAGAAATCGTATACATAATAAACATATAAACTAAAAAATAAATATTTAAAGTTTAATACGTTTTTTAAAAAAGTATATAAGACATTTATAACGTTTATTAAGCATTTCTTACTAATTTAAAATATAGTTTTTATACGAGACATTTCACATTTAATGTTGATAACGTCTATTTAACGTTTTACACATAAAAAAATGTTTCAGCTAAACGTTATTTAAACATATATGGTCTGCTTGGATACTCTACTCAGGACCGATTGTTCCAAGTTCTTGATAAAATGATCCTACCTGATTACTTCATAGATGAAGTATATCTACCGGGTAAGCAGTAAGTTTGTTGTTCCATTAAATATATATTGGATAATAAACCAATAAGTAAGTATGAAATTATTACGTACTTCCGTTTCGTACACAGCTAACTTCGTGCGATTGAAAAGTAAGATTAGATTTATGTGATATCAAACGTCTAACAACAAGTTTATGAAAAGTTATTATATAATCTGTTATATTCAAAAAATTATTAAAAAATTGATAATTAATTGTTGAGGAATGATAGTAGACTACATCGATATTGATGTATCGAGACAGTTATGAAGATAGTATTATGTTATTGAAATGTTGCGTGTGAGTACTACGTGATTATAGGTGCTAGATTTGTCGGTTAAAGGAAGCGTTTTATTTTTCTTTTATTCGACCTCTTTTGTCTCTACTGGTTTCCTTCAGATTGTGTGTGTGTATGATCAATTGTTTGCAACATGTAAGCAATTGTAAAGCTAAAATCAAGAGTTTGTCTCAACACCTGCTAAATAAAAGCTTTACCTGGTGGTTCGAGTAAAATTACCTCTTGATAATGACAATTAAACCTATAGATTAACGTATCCAAAAGATGGAGAAACAGTCATTGATGTTTACCTGATAGATACTTGTCAGGTAGAATTTACCAACAAGTTGAAACAATCGGCCCTTAATCAGATATAATACTGCCTGAGACAGAGCGTGAAAATTTATATCTTGGGCCGGTATTCATACTCAGTTCTTATATATTCAAGACTGTTCAGTTTTGAGGTGTCATGAACCAATCAGACAGCTGCATGTATTAGCATCTTAAGACATTACTTAAGACGGTCTTAAAATAAAAACGGACTGTGAATACTGCCCTTAGATATCTTAAAGGATTTGAGTATCCTTTCAACGATCGTCACGCGTCAAAACAGATGACAAAGTTTAATCGACGAAACGGCCGCGTAACATCGTTCTCGTACAGTCATCTTTTACGACATACATACAATAAAATCGATCGCGATTGTTTTTTTAGCACACACGTAGGCAGCAAATGGCTCGATACACTCGCGTTTCCACATCTATATATAGAAAAAATTGTGTTAAAATATTTAAAAATTTAACTAAATACAACTTTGAAAATAATTTTGTTAAACCATCAAAATGATTACGTAAGAAACTCAAGCATGATGAGCAATGCTGCAAATATTTGAATATTTTTGCAGTCATAATGAAATTCTGTAATAAAAAGTTACTTTTTTGAGTAATAAAGTGAATTTTCTAATCCGTTATAAAATGTTTAATATTTTCAATTCTAATATTACCATTACCGTCATATAAAAAAATCGCAATGTTATTATCAAATTTATTTATTATTATTATTATAACAAAGTAATAATAAAAACTAACTTGTATTTCCATTCTCTGCTTTTAGGTAAAATAATCTTGATAAATATACAATCTATTTTACTCTCTCCCTTTTTTGTTAATAAAGGCTTTGCTAATTAATGCTTATTTTAAAAAAATTAAGATTTTCATTAGAAGACATCTCTCTTATACGAATACCTTTTGTACTCACTGTAATCATTTTGATAGATCAACAAAATTATTTTCTATTATGTATCTAACTAAATTTTTAGATATTTCAGCAAAACTGTTCTTCCCACGTAATCTAGTAAAATAAAGCTTCATCGAATCGAATCTATTACCTTTCACCAACAATAACTTTCGAGGTTCCATAATCAATTGAATTTGTTTTCTCGTAACGTTATCTCTCGTGGATCCTCGCCTTGGAGGACAACAGATGTGGGACAATGAGTTATGCGCAGTTTATCTTTTAGTTGAACGACTAGGTAGCCGTAATGAGGCCAATGAGGACTGAGTTATCGCTGCGAACCAACTTCGCAAATATTGAAACTGACTTTTCTTACTCAACACGAGATATATCGAATTGCTTAAAAAGTAAAAGAATAAAAAAAACTTATTTGTGGTAAAATTAATAAATCCCTTGTGAGATTTTTATATAATCTCTGTTGTCAGTATCTATATATCAAAATTATAATAATTCTGTAATGAAAATCGCATGATTGATTTCTTAAGAAAAACTGCTATAATTCTTTGACAATTTATTAATTTTGTCAATTGATAATGTTTTCCCCGATTGTTAACTCGCTGCGAGGAAGCTTTATTTACTGTAGATTGCAAAGACATGCCTCTTAGGATCCATGGCCTATACACTTATATACACGCATATGCCGCGGCACGTGCAAAGTTATACTCGTACAGCTCGTCTCGATGCGTTCGCGATTAGCTGCGACAATCATCGCGGCAATGAATTTCCAATGTATATAATATAAAATTCAAATGTATATGTATATATTGTATATATAATTATATATATATGTCCTACGATTTTGTTTTCACAGAGGGGCGACTTTAGCCAGGCTTGGAACAAAAGTCTTGAATGTATTTCATGAAACTCAACAGAACTATTACAGATTTGACATAAAAAACGAAAAGAATAATTTTACTAAAATATCTAAGAATTTAAATAGATGCAGATTCAAGAATAATTTTGTCGGACCATCAAAATAATTACGTAGAAAACTTAAACCTATTGAGCAATGCTGCAAAAGATTTTGATATTCTAGCAATCAATTTAAACGTCCTACATAAATATTTTGATAATGATATAGAAGCATTTTCAGATCCGTATCTACTTAAAATTTTTAATATTTTAACAAAGCCGTTCCGTGAATAATGACTTAAAAGTCAAGGATAAGATAAACAATTTTTTTGTTTTAATAATGTCTATTAAATCATTATCTGTGTTATCTCGATACAGCCGCCATTACGTGACATAGTTGCCTGTCAATTTGAGTTTCGTGAAATATACGTATAACCGATGCAACCGAAGATGCAGGTTCTTCCACACGCGAGAGATCCTTTTCCACGTGACGGCTTGCATATATGATCCTTACGTGCGCTTCTTGCACGCAAGATCCTTCTCACGCGAGGCACTCTGAGAAAATTTATTGTAGCCTAATATGCGACGCCTTGGACATAATACACATTCAATGATAAAGCCGTCTCCGATGAACTTTATGTACTCGTATAAAATGTCATCGGTTCAGTCCGTTTCCGTCATTGATTAAAAGTCCTTGAAATGAAAGTAATCGCAAGAATCAAAATCTCGTTTGGTTGGTGATGGATCAAGATCTTCACAAATGCGTGGAGTGCGATCATTATTTTTATAATTATCGACTATAAATTAAAAAGAAAAATCTAAATACTAAAAATGCGTGGAATACGAGAACATTTATTACAATAATTGAATACCGTAAATTAAAAAGAAGAATTTAAAAATGGAACCAAAGATTGAACAAAGAGACAAGCTGTGTACACTTTAAACATTCAGCTAAAAAGGTCGGGACAGTTTGGAAAGGAAGTAGGCAAACATTGAATTATAGTAATACAGTACTCTTAAGTACTCTTTGTTCTCCAGGCATTTAGATCATTTGCAATTTACGGTATTCAATGGCGATTTACGACTCATAATTTAATCTAGACCGAGCATGTCGGAATCGCGCGACGATCGATTAATGGTGCTTCTATCCTTCACCTTAGCGATGGAGAAGTGACATTAAACCGATCGTCTTAGTTCTCGATGATACCTGGCTCGAGGAGGCTCAGCTTCGCGGGTGGCGCATCCGTGTAGTTCTGCTGGCCGTGTATCCTAGCGCCGCAGGTCCATAGACCTTCCTGCTCAGCGAGAGCGTGGCTCAGGCGGACGCTGCAGTCGCGAGCTTCGTTTCCGGCTGCTGGAAACTGCTTCACCACCACGGTGGTGTTGGAATTGATTGGGGTGAGCGACCACCGGCACTGTTCCACTGCCGAGGACGTCACGCAGCGCAGCAGAACGCTGCCGCCGGAGGAGATTTGGATATCCTGCGACAGCTCTGAGAACTTTACTTCTTCTGAAAAGAGATATTAACGAGACACATTACAATCAGAATTAGAATTAGAATGTAAAAAATTTAAATGAAAATTCATCCTCTATGGTGAATCAGAAAGAATTTCCAAAAAGGACGGATTCGATTCGATGCTCTGTCCTGCTCATTTTTCAGTTAATCAATGTACAAAATAGATAAAAAAAATTTTAATAATAACACGAAATTTCCTTCTCTGTTTATTTGATGAAACTGTTAAATATCAAAGAAGCAATGATATCCTAATTTTTTAAATTTATTATTTATTTATTTTCAACTCTTCTATATTCACATGCACTTAATAAATAACAAACTAAATTTGAGTTAAATTTAATACATGGAATTAAATTCTTTAACTCAGCTGTTTTAGTTAAATTAACGATACTGAGTAGAGACAGACTTATAAAAATAATAAACAACAACTCGAATTAAATATAATTTGACATTATGAATATTAACAATGAAAAAAATATAAAATTTATTGATTTTAAATAATTACAGTAAAAAAAGCGTTTTAATTAGGGCTCGATTTTTATACGTTTAAACAAAAATACGTTTACACGTATAATTATAGTATATTAGAATTTTTCCGAATATACATGTAATTGACTATTATACGTTTAAATGAAAACACGTTTACACGTATAATTAGCATATTCGTATGTTAATTAAACGTTTTTCTGAAAGCGAACATAAAAGGATAAATGTTTCACGATTATATTCAAAAACGAAATAAAATTAGAGCCCTAGTTTTAATTGAAACCATGGGGTTATATCTGACCCCGACTGTACCCCATTAGAGAACTAACAATCAGAAACAAGAAGAAAAAAGAGGGCTATATAAAAAAAAATACTGATCACAAGCATCTTTTACCTTGCTCGTAAACCACGAGTTTCGCAGGCGGCGATGTCAGAATGGTATTGAGGGACATAATGGAAACCTGACAACTCCAGTAACCCTGCTTTTCCGTATATACATGCGGAAGGTGGAGTGAGCAATCGCGACCGAGATCACCGTTGCTCGGGAATTCATTGAGAACGATCTCCGGATCGCTACCGTGCAACGGCTTCCACGTCCACACGCATTTTTCCACGCGGCTGCTAGTGACGCACTTCAATGTGGCCTCCGTACCTACTGGCACCGCCGTGTCAGTCGGCACCTCGACGAAGCTCACCTTAGCTGGAATCGGCCGTAAGAAATATTCGCGATTAGAAGCCGAGGGACGCGAAAAACATTTAGATTTGAGTAGATACCTAATGATTTCTGTTTCTTTGCTGAAAGTATATAAAATTTTAAGAAGTTTCTATAACGACGTTACGTTTATGTACAATTTTAAAGAAATATTAGACGATATTGAAAATTTTGGAAAGAAGTCTATGCGTAACATAAATATTAAGCAATATTATTTATACAGGTACTTATATGTGATATAAATAATTGAATATGTTATACTAATGTATCGTTTCTTAAAATTGTGAATTTTGGTACTTAATAATTTCTTATTTTCAAAACGCATCTTTGTGGCTGGAAGATCAAACAAAATTTTGGAATTTAATTAGCCATTGCTTTACTGCTCTATACGAATGTAATTTGTAATTGCGTCAGTTAATTAGTTTTTATTTAATATAAATGTTACATAAATTAAACACGAAATGTGAGAGAAAGGTGAAATGTAGGAAGGGAAAGTGCAGTCGAATTATACGAGAATGAGTTACGCTGAATTCCAATACCGATAATTAAAAGTGTACTGAATTTACAATTATTTCTTTTTTTATTGCAGTTAATCTTAAGATTCTAGACATGAGATCTTAATTTCACGATTAAACAGAAAGGCAAAAATACAAATATTTGAAACAGACATTATTAATGCCAATACCGTTTTTTTTTTTTCAATTTTCACATCATCTCGCGCCAAGACATCAATCCATCCGTAATTGCGCGAAACATTACCGTAATTACACGAGTATTCTTTCGCGCGGCGCTCGTATAATTGCACGCGGCAATCGGATCGGACGTCCGATAACGACCGCACGATTGTAGGGTTTGGGCATATTTATTTCTTAATTAAACGTAACCGTCGCGTACCTGTGGGCAGGAGGCTGACAGTCGCCGCGGGCGCCGTGTGCAGGATACCATCGGGCGTCAAACGTACCCCGCAGGTCCATAGACCCTCCTCCTCGTACAATATGTTCTTGAATCGCACGGAACAGTCGTGTTCAGCGTCCTTGTTTGGACTGAACTTCTTCACCAGCAGTGGTCCCTTGCTCGAGTTCGACGCCCTCCATGACCACTCGCACTGTACCACCGGCTTGTTCGCCAGGCACCGTAGGAAGACCGATTCGCCGGCTGCAACCTGCACGCCGCGCGACAACTGCACGAACTCGACTATAAAAGGGAAGCAAAAGCTCTTCGACGGTTTTTCAATCGCGGAACGGATCGGCGGCGTGGCATATAAAATCGATCGGAGTCTTTGTGACGCAAAGTAAATGTGACACTGTTGAGTATTTTTTAACATTTAACAATTGTTTCACGAAATTGTCGAAAGTAATGGATCTGTGAACCTATCATGACATTCTATCGATATCAAAAAAATTACAGTTCTAGTAACACTTTTCGTATAGTTCTACAGTTCCTCATAAAAATAAGCAATAGTAGAACTGTGAACTATGAAAAGTGCTACTGGAACTGTTGTAATTTTGTCGACAGAATGTCGTGCTAGCTTCACAGATCAGAAAGTAATTGATTTTAAATATACATTATCATTAAATATATATATCATATGTAAAAGACATCATTCGAATCACTAAAAGATGATTATTAATTGTATTAAAAATGTTATATGTTCATACCAATTATTGAACTTGTTAAAATATACGAGAGCGTTGAGCTTTAAAGCAATTTGATATTTAAATTTTCGTTATTCAAAATATTTCAAGAGTGTATATGCCTTATACATTTTTATTATGAAACACAAACTATTTTAACTTCGAGAAAATTATAAAATGTAAAAAAATATAATTATTCTTGTATCTTCTTTGACTGCATTCTCAATTACTCATTATACAATTCTTTGCATGTAAAGAATGTAATATCGATGAATTTATGTCAATATAAAAATGAATAAAACAGAATACATATGTAAATGTCAGCATAATTGATTAGATACAATACTAAGAAAATCGACTGAAGAATATTCAACACAAATAAGCAAAGAAGGCCATATTCGGTCAAAGCGAATGTTAGTGCCTAACAGTATTTCTGTGTGAATTTTATAATTTCCAATTCAAGCAAACTGCGAACTAATGAAATACCTTCTGATATGAGAAAACGGACAGGAGTCGCCTGGGTGAACGAGGAATTCGGATCTACTCGCGCACCGCAGGTCCAGTAGCCTTCTTGCTCCGGTAGGACGTTCTTGAACTTGATACTGCATTCCGTACTGTCATTACCAAAGGCTGGAAACGATTTCACGTCGAGGTTCCAGGGTTGCGACTGGTTCAGCTGCCGCCAGGACCACTGGCATTCGCGCACCGGCGACTTCGTCTGGCACATTATTTGCGCCGAGGATCCCGCCGGCACCTCAACGGCATTCTCGTGCTTCGCGAATGTAATGAGGATGCCTGAAACGTGCATTAGTTGCATCTTCGATATCTCTTACGTAATGCACCGCTTTGGAAAATAAGGAAAACTCGGAAGTTAATTGGCATCAAAATTCGCGAAAATAATTAAAAATAAAACTCATCACAATTAATTAATTTTCTTTTTTCCTCTCTTCATTCTATTTGTATAAGGCCTTGTATGCTGGCACTTTCATTTTTAGATTCTCTAATTAATTCGAAATCGACCTTTTTCTGGAAGGAAATGTATATGTATAGTATAATGTTTATATATGTTTCATATAGCATGATTCATTCGCGATAGTTATCAAAGTAAACCGAATTCGAATGGAAACAACATTTCCATGATACGCTTGTCTTTCACTTTTTGAATGATTCACTCGGAGGATCGTTGTCAAAATTCAAAACCGAATATGACAGATGTAATATGAATAAAAAATTAAACATTACTAATAAAATTAAATATTGATAATTTAGTAATAAATTTTAATTAAATATTGAAGAAACAGTGGAAAATAAATAACGATAATATATTTAGTCACAAAAAAATCTTGAAGAAACATTACGATCGTTGACACAATTGATAAAAACAAAGAATAACGTCAAGCATGTTTTGTCACCAAGAATTCAAGGTCATCAGAAAGCAACTGCGTAAATACACGTGCTCATTTACTATAGCCACGCGATTAAAATTATAAATAAAGAACGGGACTACAATTTGAACAAGCTTTTTCCTGTGTTAGAAATATAGATCAATTTATAAAAGATAAGTAATGGTCTCATAGTTGAATTTTCAAACAATTTGATCATTTAATTCAGAGTTTAATTAATATTAATTTATCACAACTTATAACATATCTCATAAAACTTATAACATATCTTAGATCCTTGCTTACAAGGTGGAAAACGAGTGAGTTTATAAACAACTCACAGTACCGACTAATGTATAATAGCGACGAGAAAAGTATCATATTTGGTTTGGTAGACAAGGCACTCCTATTGTCTGATACAACTTTTTATGAAAAAAATATCAATTTAATAATTAATATTTTGAAAGAAAACGATTATCCTCTTAAATTTATATTTGATAATATTAACACCAGAATAAAAAACATCGAACAAGTTAGAGGCTCTCAAGTTATAGACAAAGATAATAATACCGATCTACCGATCATTCCATTGTTATATATATATTTATATAATTTTTTTTACTAAAAATATAATTAAATAATTTTTTTATTATATAATAATAAAATTATTTTCTTCTTTTGTATAAGTATTAAAAAAGTAAGTATTTTTTATAATAATTATTTTTAATGAAAAAAAATTATTTAATTTCTCTTGTTAATGAACATAGATATTCCATGATAAAAAGTAAAACAAGTTTAGACTAAATTTGATCGAATCCGAAAAGGTATCAGGATATTACCTAAAAGTATAGAATAATTTTAAAATTGATCGGATTAACAAGAATGGAATGAATCTTACCATGATTAACATTGACGATGCTGAGCTTAGCAGGATCGGTGCTAGTGAAAGGATCGCTCGTCGAGGCTCTCGCCGCGCAAGTCCAATATCCTGTCTGCTCGTGCTTAGTGCTGGAGAATCTCACGGAGCAATCGTTACTGTTATTCCCGAACGCGGGAAACTGTCGTACGGGCAATGGGTGGGTCGTGGGAGTTGCTGTAGTTGCAATCGTTGGGATCGCCGTGGCTGAAATCACCGAGAGGTTCGAGCGAAGGTATCGATGAATATTCAGCGCGCGATTATAGAATTATGAATAATGCCTGCGATATCCGACGTAGAAAGATAAAACTGAACCGTCTATAAGAATAGTTATCGGTATACTGGAGGAAAGCGATAAGAGAAAACAGGTGGATGAATTTTAAAAGTGACTTGATTAACCCAGGGTTAATAACATCTTTTCAGGAAAAAATACTCTTCTAACTACTTTAAGAATTTTTTTAATGACTTAATTAACTCAGTGTTGAATTTATATTTTGTAATTGCATTAAAAATATCTTAAATTTCGAGAGAGAGATACTTTTCTAACGTTTTTTTTTTTAATGCTGTGAGACGTTAAGCCTTTCTACAGTTAGATAATTTATGTACTTTAAAAAACTTCAATGTGGATTTAACACTTTGTGAGGTCTATATAATTCTCACTGTGTTGGTGTTAATATTAACACCAGCATGATGTGGATTTAACATCATGGGTTTTAAATCCACACATGGTGTTGTACAAACAAGGGTTATAAATTTGCGCTACATTGATGTTAATATTATTTCTCCCAAAGGATGTGAATTATACAGACACTATAGATCACACCGATATTTTTTGGAACGCACAAACTTGTTATTTGTTATTCTCACAGAAATTGGATTTGTCGTCGAAGAGGAACAATGCGATATTGCGCTTACTTGAAGAAACCGGTGGGCTTTCACTAACGTCCGGAAGCGGCAAATGAACTGGTGGCAATGGCTGCCAGGACCATTGGCACTCAGCCACAGGATTAGCGGTACGGCATGCCAACAACACGGACGATCCCAGTTCCGTTTCCGTATGCTCCGGGATGTCGACGAACACCACGGCAATCGGCGATGGCTTCGTTCCCGGCATTATGTCGTCCATCGAGTGACCTTCCGCTTCAGGAACGACGGTTGACTCCGAGACATTTCCGACATCTCCTTCCGATATCGTAGTCGTATTAACGAATTGGTCGTCGATAGGAGCAGCTAAATATCAAGCGAAAAAAAGCAGTAGCTGTAAGTTTATAATTTTTAAATTTGTTTTACTTGGAACACATTTTTGTTTGTAATACTAATAAGAAATAATCAATGAAGATTAAGGTATGTACTGACTACAATAGTTTCCGCTTAAAGCGAATGATTTAAAAAAAAGCAGCTTTGCAACTGTTGTAAAATTCTTTAATGATGTCTTACCCTTCCTCAGAGGATCTAAATCAACTATATTGAAGAATCTTATAATTAATGAATCATCGATTATATTAAAGAAACCTTACGATAGTTACAAAACTACTTTTTCTGAATGCAGCCACTGTAGCTACAAGAGAGAACTGGAAGTAAAAAAAATCATGCTTCGAAATAGTTTTTTTTATGCCTTTCCGCGCGATAACGTAATATAGGCGTTTCTACTCTCGTGAAAGTAACGGAGTGATAAAAAGATTAGAGCAAAATTGTCCCTGCGTGAAAAAATTGAAAGCGCAAGTCGGCAAAGCCGACGTCGCCAGGACGCAAGACGTCCAGCGTGAAGAAGAACGGATATGTGGGACATGATGGGCAGGAAGCTACCGACAGTCACGTAGACAATCGCCTTGCGTCGCGCGTCTGTCACCATGCGCAGATAGAATCAGGGTCGGATCGATAGATCGACTTAGGAATCGTTCGTGTCTCCGAAAGCAACTGCCTTTATTTCCGTATTTGCGTGACTATTTGCGGAACTGATGAAACTTTATGTTGTGCAAGAATTGCTGACGCAGTGTTTATTGCGCAGCCAGACAGTTACTCGTAGACATGTGTTTACGTATAATATCACGTGAATTAAATTGGCTACAATTGTACGTATAATAGCAAAAAGAGACGCAGGCAAACTTTGAAATATACATAAAGATTTAAAATAACATCTGTAAGCATTAATTAATCAATTACCTTAAATAATATAAATATTTATATAAGACATAAATAAGCCTAAAATTTTATAAGTTTATAATAAAATAAGTAAATTTTTAATATCGTAAAATGTTGATAAAATATAACAAATAAATAAATTAATAATAATTTTATTACTTAATTAATCGTATTTCTTTTAATCATCATATCTTCTAAATATTCGTTTTAAATTTATAAGAAAAGGAAAAGAAAATAAAACATTTTTTTAATTATAGTTTTTAAATTATGAATTAATTTTCAAATTAATCTAAATTGTTAAAATCGTTTAGGGGTTTCTTTTCAAGCTAACGAGCTAATAAGGATTCTTCGGATCATTCATCAGCGATTGGCAAAGGAAGAGCGCCCCTGCGACCGATTGCACGCTTTCTACATGGCGAGTATGTAGTGCGTGCACAATTACAATGCCCGAAGTTGGTCCTTGGTATTGTCGCGTAACGTTCGCCAGTTTATACATTAAAGCCGATGCTGTCCTCAAGACAAACCGGAGCTGGTCGCTGACACTGGAAGGTCATTTCCTTTACATTGACATACTGATCGTTGGCACATGGTTTTATAGCGCTACGTGCCGCTCGACCTTATTAGACCTGATCGAGTGTCGGAAACCCCGCGCGGATTCCTCTGTCGCAATCGGCCGTTGCACCAATTTCGTAACAGCCATAATTCCGTACGATGTTACCGCCTTGAATAAAGTCGGCGAACATGATGGAAATTCGTAAGCAGATCAACGTGATATTATTCTGAAGACATTATTCTGAAGAATTATATGTATATTATAGGTATGTAACAATTTTTAATGCTAAACATTTCATATATGTTTGTAACACCAAAAATTGTAGAGTAAGATTTTATGACTTGCATAATGATTATAACTTAATTTTCGAAAAGAGAGAGAGAGAGAGAGAGAGAGAGAGAGAACACTTGATCCTCGTATCTTCTATTTCTTGTTATTTTTATGTTCGTCAAGTACACGCAATTATTCTTCGAACCAATCTTCCAGAATTGATTCCTAATTTTACTTGGGACGCGCTTTCCATTCTTCGCTAACATTTAACTTTCACGCTCATTTTATAGAAGAGATGAATTAGCCACTGCGAATATAGCAGACCAAGAATTTTTGGGTCGAGGAAGTGGGCAGATCCTATTGTGTTGAGTTGCTATTAACTTTCTTTGACAAATATACGTCTACTGTAACAAATATGCGTGTCTCAGGCATTTGAGAATTGGCTTCAATGTTATGTTGAATCTATGTTACGGTTTTATCTGCTTTAATCAATTCACTTCATATATCTTCTTGCGGCAATGTGTAGTCTTAGAATATATAATAATCTTAATAAAATACAACAAAGAAAATTAATGCTTTATGGATAAACATGAACTTATAAATTGAAGATACTGATAATAAAATAGAAGACCTTGATAATGAAATTGATTGACATATAAAAAGTTAGATCTAAAGGGCAATCTTAACTGCCGGCAACTAGAGTCTTTAAAGGTACTAACAATATATTGTATATAATTGTGAAATTTAATAAATAAATTTAAATCTTCGAAAAATAAGCAAAATATAATCCAACTTTTACGATAGTAAAAATTCGTTGAAGTTTTTTTTGAATATATTGAAATTTTTTCAGATTTTTATATAATTCGGAACAAAGTAAAAAATTTGCTCTGCTTTTTGAAAACCTCTATTATTGAACGATTAAAATTTCTTTTATCAGCGGAAGATTAAAAATAAATTATTTATAATTTTTATATTTTGAAAACAATATGCATACATGTATGCACAAGAATCATTAAAATTTAATTATTAAAATGTGTATTAAATTTGTTTTTAATTCAAGGGGGAAAACCTTTAACTTTTAAATGTAACTTTCGATCTCTCTTCAAGAGATGTTAATTTCCTGACAATATTCCTTCCAAAATTACCAATTCAAATACTTGTGCCATACGGAAGATCGTTAAGGCGAATGCAAATCGTCAGCTTATATGAGTCACAGAAATTGTGCGTGCTTTAAGTAGTTATCTATGCGTGAAGTATTCCTCTCTGATATTGTTAGACGCGGTTGTTTAACTAGCGATAATTATGAAAATTATTAATCATTACCATGGATGCGCAGTAGCATTAAAACATAGACGTAACTAACACGTTATTTCCTATTTATGATAATAAAAAGCAACGTAATACTCAAGATTTATTACAAGATATAGTTACAGGATATAAATTTAAATAAAAAATATGTTACGAAAGTGTGTGGAATATTGTTACCTTACAGTTATTCTCTTGACAGACAATTGCGGCAATCAAAATCATTATAAAAAAGAATCTATTGCTTAAGTTAAAACATTATTCTCGTGATAATTATCTAGAAAAAACTGAATTTTTTTGTTAAAAATGATGACGTCAGGACGGATTTTTTTAACTTTCCTTTCCAATGAGATTTTAACGTCGTTATTATAAGCATATTATATCATATTTATGCACTAAGATAAATCCACCTTTCTGATGAGACCTTTGATTGGTGTAAACAAAATTATTTGAGAAATTCTGCTCGTCAAATTTCCTGGAAGATTAAAAAAATGTTCATAGTCCAGACCCAAGAGATTTTGTCCGAGTCGAAGATTTATTTAAACTCGTTGAACTACTGAGCTATAAAAATTGGCTGTTCTCTCTTTTTGCGAGAAGTGGGAAATCCTTGACGTCATCACTCTTGCTCTAACTCGAACAGGTTTTTAATTGACTATTACAGAAATCTTATTATTCTGTGTTAATTATGTGCGTAAACTAAAATAGTAATGAGTAATACATTAAAAATATTATGACGTATCAAGATAACTTTCTATATGCAGAATGATTTTGATCACATATTTCCAACACACAAAAGTCAACAAAAAAAGAACATATGACTTTGTTTTGATTCAATAAACAGTCAAATTGTGTAATCAATATCATTATTTTGATTTTTATGACATCAAAATAAAGTCATTTTAACTTTCTCTTGACTTGTTGTGTGTTGTTCCTTGAGGTTTTTATCAAATTTATATCAGCATTGAAAGATACACTTTTCTTTCTTCCGGTCTCTCCGATTTTAACATAATTGTAATGCCAGGATACTTTCAATTTGGTTTCTCTTCTCTATAATCAATTCCGGAAATGCGCACGGCTGATCGTAGCCCTCCGGTTTCCTGCCGATGAATCGACTCACTGCGAATATTAATCGATCGCACTATTACTGATCAGACTCGGAGATTCATCGTCGCCGCATTTCCGCTCACGAGATCATTTTCATTAGTAGCATTTGCACGCTATCCACAATTTCTCCAGTCGCTATCCAATTGAATATATATATGCCATTCAAAGCGAATGTAAATCACGGACATTACCGATCATAAATCTTTCTGCAATCGATCACGGCTGATAGCGATTCAGATTTCTTGAAACGAGTTTTTCTTTCCTTTCTGTAACGCAATTTTCTAACGCCCTATCGACAGTGAGAGCAGCGCGTTTTCTCGAGTCGTCTCTATCATTGGCCGTCACTAGTTAACAATAGCGACAATCGTTGATATGATGTTAGAGACTCCCACTATATACGATCTCTTATTTATTTCATTGTGTGTGTATGTTGTGTGTGTTACATTTATCTCTCTTTGTGTATTATTCCGACTTACACTTATATTCACATAATTTTTATTGATAATTAAAAAATAAGTAAAATTCTAGGATAATTATTATATAAAAATTAAAAAATTATTTATAAGAGAAAGCCATGAATAACTGTATAAATTAATAATTTAAAAGTTAAAAAGAAAACTTATAAAAATCGACTCAGTCTTATTTACAAATAGCTCTTACAGATTTCTTTTCTAAATTTTGAACTATTATTCCAAAGCCTTATTTACTGTAATTATTAATAAAAATTACGTAAATATAAATGATAAGTAAAA